AAAAAAAAAAAAAAAAAAAAATATATATATATATATATATATATATATATATATATATATATATATATATATTATATATATATATACATACATATATACATACATATACATACATACATACATACATACATACATACATACATACATACATATATACATATATATATATATATATATATATATATATATATATATATATATATATATATATATATATATACGACGACCCGAAGCGATAAGGGATGAAATCGCCTTATCAGAGGATTGGAATCCGATCTCCAATCAATATTAAAAGAGGGCGAGAGATGGCGAGGGTTTGACTTCCGCGACCGGGAGGTGAAGGGTCGCGTCCTGAGGAATAATTATGGTGGTGATGGTGGTGGTGGTGATGATGGTGTTGTCGGTCCAGAGAGAAATAATTATGGTGATGATGGTGGTGGTGAGGTGTGGTGGTGATGATTGATGATGATGACGATGATGATGGCGGTGGTGGTGGTGGTGGTGGTGGTGATGGTGTGAGGATGGTGGTGGTGGTGATGGTGGTGTGATGATGGTGTGATGATGATGGGTGGTGATGATGATGATGGTGTTGGTGATGATGATGAATGTGGTGGTGGTGGTGGTGATGGTGGTGGTGGGGATGACGATGATGATGGCGGTGGTTGATAGTGATGGGTGGTGGTGGGTGGTGATGATGAAGGTGGGGATTATGATAATGGTGGTGATGATGGTGGTGGTGGTATTGTTAGAGGTAGTGATGATGATGATGTGGTATCGGTAGAGGTAGTGATGATGGTGATGATCGCGATGGTGATGGTGATGATGGCAAAACAACAACAATAACAATGATAATAAAAATAATAAGAACAGCAAATATAATGATAACAATTATATAACAACAACAACAACAACAACAACCAATAATAATAATAATAATAATAATAATAATATCATAACTAGCTATCATAATTTCAATCATTATCATCATCATTAATATCATTCCTACCGTTACCATCATACTCATCAACAACATGACGAGTACTTCTACTGCCATTATTGCTTTCTTAAGAATAGTGCATCCCAAAAAAGAAGGAAAGGAAAAGAAAAAAAGAAGAAAAAAAGAAAGAGAAAGTGTATTCGGACTGAAAGCAAAGATTTTTCTATTCTCTTTTTCTCCTTCTTCTCCTCCTCCTACTCTTTCTCCTCGGTTTCTTCTTGCTCTTCTCCTTCTTCATCTCTTCCTCTTCCTCATCCTCCACCTTACTTCCCTCCTTCCTTCCACATCCACACCCCTCCCCCCCTTCTTCCTACCCTCCCACCCCTCCCTCTTCTTCCTCTCTCCTTTCCTCCTTTCCCTCCCCTCCTCCCAGCTTTCTCTCTCCTTCCCCCCTCCTCCTCCACCTTTTCTCTCTCCTTCCCCTCCTCCCCCAGCTTTCTCTCTCCTTCCCCCTCCTCCTCCCAGCTTTCTCTCTCCTTCCCCCCTCCTCCTCCCCTTTCTCTCTCCTCCCCCTCCCCCCAGCTTACTCTCCTCCTCCCACCTTTCTCTCTCCTTCCCCCCTCCTCCCCACTTTCTCTCTCCTTCCCCCTCCTCCTCCTCCCAGCTTTCTCCCTCCTTCCCTTCGTCCCTCCCTTCCAGCGTTTTGTCTCCTCGCCTCATGTCTTCTCTCGCTAATGAATTCCCACAAAGGAGTTTCAGAAACATTTCGAAAATATTTGTTTTGTGTTTGCGGTCCCTCGGGCTGCCGGCTCGCTTGGCTGGCGGGTCGTAAACACTCATGGACATGGGGAGTGACGCATACGTGCATATATACTTACATATATACTTACATATGTACGTACATACATGCGTATATCAGCTACATGGACATGCATACGTACATACATATGCATATACATACAGACATACATACATAAGAACATATATACATCCATCTCTGCCTGTCTGCATGTCTGTTCTTCAGTCTGTTAGTCTGTCTCTTTCTGACTGACTGACTGACTGACTGACTCTTTCTCTTTCGCTTTCTTTCTTTCTTTTCTTCTTTCTTTTCTTTCTTTCTCTCTCTCTCTCTATTCATCCATTCATGCATTCATTCATTAATTTCATTCATCCTTTCTTTCTTTCTCTCTCCTCCTCCCCCTCTCTCTCTTTCTGTCTCCATCTTTCTTTCTCTCCATACGATTCAAATATTTTTTTAACAGTTACTAGTGTGCAATGGCAATGCATCACAAATAATGATACAAAAATGAATAGAATGTAAAGGAAAAAAATATATTTTTCCTGCTGAATCTCATTAATCAAACACAGACACACAGACACACGCACACGCACAAACACACACACACACACACCACACACACACACACACACACACACCACACACACAGCACCACACACACACACACACACACACACACACACACACACACACACCACAATCAACCCATTTCCGACCTACCTATTTACCTCAACCTTAAAAAAAAAACTTTGAACCCCAAAACT